GTAGGTCGATCAAACTGCCGCATGGCCGTACCGTACATGTTTTGTCAATTAGCTTCTCTTCGGCTTGAGGCGTGACGGCTTCTCTTAAGTACCCGTTTGAGCGCTACTCTGGCGCTCCTTGTTGTCCACCTCATAACGCGAATAACTAAAGTTGGCTTGCACCCTTAATTATTACTTTGTTAACAGCACCGTTGATCCAACTTTTTTGTTGCTCAAATTGGCACGGTTACGAGTAGCTCGATGACAGCGTTTAGTGGCAACAGTACATAATTTTAGTTTGTTCCTCGCAGTACGAGTCACGCGAGGCTCTACCTTCGCTAAAGACTCGTAGAATTGAAGACAAGTCCCTTTCGGTGCAGTTTCTTACTGTACTCTAGTTAAATGTTAGCCTTCAGTGAATAGTGTGCGCTCAAAGGTAAGGTGTCGGAAGTACGCCGGTACGCTGTGCCTACTCTTCCATGCCATGTAATCACCAGCAGTCGCGAGTGAGCTAAGGGTACTGCAAATGTCGTCCGGACCTTTACGCGGGGCTCAAACCCGCGACCTCAGATTACAAGGCAAGTTAATGATCCTTAAGGTTACGGACCGGCGCTCACAAATTACGCATAATGAATAGAATAAAAAGAGGTAGGGAAGAATTACAACCAGTAGCTAAGGAATTATAACTGGTTTAGCATCGAAGGCTGCTAAGGTTTCAATCAGCAGGTGGATTTCACTAGTTAAGGCACCGCACTGGAAGATGAGCAGGGCGATGTCGTATTGACTGAACTTGTTGCCGCTCTGTTAAAAACGAATAGACAAGTTCCTTACCAACTGTTCCGCGGTTTTCATGTATCAAGACACATACACTATAATTTTGATTTGTTGTTAGACTCCCCTACAACACCAGTGGGTAATGCCGTGGCGTCAGCTATACATCCGCCGATTGCAGATACCGAACTGTTAACCAGCTTTGACGGACGCACATCTTCCGTACTAGCAGCGACGAAAGTATGCAACGTACGCTACTTTCAGTTATGCGGGTATATCATAATACTTGCTAAATGCTGAGTGATCCCAGTTACGTATGCTCCTACCTTTTGATCCTAAGCTCAGACACTAACTTGGAGTGCAATAACATAAAATAAATTCAAAAGAGCAATCATCTACATTGTTGACAATCCTACTTCACTCCTCGAGTCCACCAACTCTGGAAGCCTCTACAAATTCATTTGATTGTGTCCGCACTATAGACATCTTCAAAAAAGTGTTTAGGCATCGCACCCAGCTCCCTGCGCTTTGTTACATAAAGATCAAATTGGCAGACAAAGGAAGACTTCCGCTGTACGTTATACTTTATTGTAACGGGCCAGCCAATGTGGATATTGGCAATTGTGTAATGCTACAACCACCTCAGCGTTAGGTTACAGCACAAAACCTCCTAGAGTACCTATTCTGACAAGCCCGCCACGTTGCAAAAGTGGCAATAGAAGTCTTGCTGCACAACGCTAAAGCTATTCTCAATAATACAGACGCCCTACCAGAATTAGCCATTCACATGGAAAATTACCATATTATTCTGATTCAAATGAACTAGGAGGCTGAAGTGAACACGTTGATCATGATAGAGTGGATAGTGCGTGCCATACCGAAAACTTGGCAGCGTAGGTAAGCCGAGGTTGTCGACCAAATGACCCTGAGCGGTCACGAATTTGTGTCGCTTCTTTTTTACATGGTCCGCAGATAATTTAGAAATTTAGCCGAAAAAGCACCCCGCAAATCTGAAATACTCTCTACGGGGAATCACCCCAAAAGAGAACGTCCCACTGCAGGTATTCTTTTCCCAGGGCAAGTAACTACTTCGTTGACATCCAGAACCCACTCGTGCACAGTCTGTTTAGGTAGCCACTGTGCCACTGACTGTGATAACTTCAAAGTGCTAGGCTTGCCGCAGCGAAGGGGAAACCTAAGAACTAAAAGACTATGCTTCGGTTGTCTAACATCAGGGCATTTCGCCAAAATTTGCAGTGTTCAAGATACCTGCAACATCGACAATTGCCACCGACGTCATCGCGGGGTGCTTCACCATATCGACTCGAACGCTCCGGCTCACGCAATAGTAGTAGGACTGGTACTCTGCGGAGCCATCAGTACGAGCTCTCGTTGAGTAGCTCTGGGTTTTATTCCAGTCACCGTTTTTTGGACCTTCCGGCCCAATGGATACATACTCACTTCTCAATACTTGATCGGACACAAATTTGATCACACAGAATCTCGTCAATCGCATAAGACTGAAGCCCAAACCACCATCAACGAGGAATACTACGATCAACGGCAATCGCAACTTTCATGGTTTATTGGTAAAATTTTGCATCCATTCGCTTAACGAGCTAAAGGAATTCGAGATGGAGAGCGCATTCACTGTATCAGGCTGACCGATTCAGACCTCAGACCATGAACTGTAAACAGAAGCGAGTAAGCGACCTCATCAAGCTGAACTTAGCTTGGACGAAAGAGGGGACAAGTGAATCTCGTTATTAATTGGTAGCGATGTGCCCGAATCCCCCTGACTGGGTTGTAGAAAGCAGCCATATACTTTCAAGGGTGCATGGATACCTTGCACCTTGTCCACTTTGATCTGCTGGGCAAGAACTTGTCTACATCAACTGTATTATTTCGGCAAACAGTTTCCTTGCTATACGAACTATTGGAGGATACTTGCTCTCTTGCTCAGCAGATTCGCAGGTTGTACAACGCGGATTTCTACGATGTGGTGGCTCTGAACATAATCTTTCACTGAGGGACTCGTCGATAATGGGCGAAGTAGAAGGTGTCAAGAAATTCGTGTCCTCTATTTTGCAACGCAAAGGTGTTTGCCAACGAACTGAAAACCTCTAATGAAGCTACTGTGTATACTGTTCATGTATAGATGAGCAGCTCGCTGCGTCGCTTATGCCCAGCGTTGCGCAAAAGTATTATTTGCGTTGGAGAGCGTTCGAAGTATACCGCTTATTAGGAGGGTGTGAAGCAACCAGCCATCTACCCAGCAGCCACCAGAGGTGCACTCTGGAACCAAACAGTTGCTATGCGCATGCAGCACTAAGTGCAGAACAGTGAATGGCGATAAGGCGGCGAACCGAAACGTCGAAAGCAATGTTGTCTACCGCATGCCAGCCGACATTCCACCTCAAAAGCAGATGGCGCCGCTACCAGCCGCAGAGCCAAGCTTGGTTAGTTAACTTACAACAACCGTTATACGGACTATCGCAGATCCATACCTGTAAAGCTGGAAAGGATTGGGGAAAAGCGGTAAGGCTGAAAATTTACCTGTTTGCAAACCAGAGTAGTTCAACTGGAAGCGGTATACAACCTCTGGACCGTTGCTTTCATAGCAGTTCTCATCCGGTTCCTAGGTAGGTTTGGGTATCATTCAGACATTCACAGCGATAACGGAACGAAATTTACATTGGTGGTTAGGGGGCTACGCGTGTTCGTTAAAACTGAGATCAAAGAAAACTGGACAGAGAGTTGTTCGCTGGTGTCGCTCAGCGGCACTTTAAGCCACCAATTGTAAGTCACAGGGAGAGTGTGTTTTGGAGCGAATGATGCTGTCCGTGAAGAAAATATTGAACGGCGTGTACATTGAGCAACCTCTTGCTGATGACTCCATCCCCACCGTGTTCACTGAAGTAGAAAGAAGTTTGAACAATCAACTATTAGTGCCGCTGGCCTCCGACAATCAAATTGCATCACTGTTGACGACAATAGTCAGGTTTGGAGACGATGTGATACTTTTGAGTTTCCTGACATCGAGATTAGCGGGAGGTATACTAAGCGCTGGAGTCAAGTAACGCATGTAGCCACGGTGTTTTGAAAGAGAAGGCTGAACGTATATATAATAACTATACAATGGCGACATTAGTGGCAGCAACCGAGCAAAGTCATGGAAGTTGATGAACTCGTATTGCTGGGATCCGAGAAATTACAAGGGGGATGTTGGCCACTGGGACAACTGGTTAGCTATGAAACAAACGTAGATGACTCAGTAAGAATGGTTTGCATAAGGCAACTTAAGACGTATTGCGAAGAGACATTAGAAGGGTATGTCACCTGGAGGGCGGCGGATTACGGTACTTCGGTCTAGTCTGGAGTGTAGTGCAGTAGTCATGGAAAACGGCTTTCGTCCACGCACACCGACGTTGATAGATACCCACAGGATGTGCGTGGCGATGGTAATGAGATACGGCATTCGCTAAGACACATTTGTGTGGTATGTGCTGTTCCCCTATCTATTAATATTAATGAGCGGTTTGGCGGAGATTAGTGAGGTGGAGAGCCTGTTTGGTGTTGCTGATCCGGAAGACGCCAATCGCAGAAGAATTTCGAGGGTCGGTGTTGCGGAATCAGAATACACGACTGAAGGTCTTCCGAGGTGCATTCGACCTTCACTCTTTGCGGTTGCTCAGATCGCCGATGCGTGTTTGCATGTCTGTGTTTCTAACAGGTGATACTACCTGATTTTTTCCTGTGTGACGCTTCTGAGATCGCATTGAGCCTGCAATTACTTACAGCAGATGTAGGAGTCCTTTTGTCAAGATGTTAGAAAAGGCGTGCAAACACAGAAACTTTGGCATCTCGCTAACAGTATCCGTGAAATCAAAGTGCAATGCTTTCGGAAACTAACTTTGAATTATTTGGCATATTTCGACTGATTAAGACATAATAAATGGATTTGCTTTCGTGCTTCTGACGATTAGGAAACTAGTAAATACAACTATTTTTGCTCGCAAATGCGTGCACTTGTTTGTTTCTATTTGCTGAGAAACCATTTTGCATCTATCGAAACGAAGGCCAGCTTTGGAGCTGCGCTTAAGGAACAGAGCTGTCGTCAACAACTTTTATTTTTGGTTTATCAGCCTCAGTGAGTTGAGATATCTTGGTCAGAGGAAATAAAGCCAAGCAACAAAATAAGTCCTCCGCGTCCATCACCCAGGAGTTAAATGCAAGTGAGTTCTTATGGTTTAGGCAAGAATGGCTAGCTTTCGAAGGCCGTTTTGAGTGGCAGCGATGAGGGCCTGAAAAAGAAATGGTGTGGTTATGATAGAGCTTCAGAAAAGACTAGGGGTCATCCATGTATATTCCGCAGAACATTACGGTAACATGTGCACATGCTGAACAGCAAATGTAGGACCAAATTTAATGCCGCACACATAAGATATGGTGCGTCCATATCGTCGCAAAAAAAAGTTTATTAAGAAACCTCTGACACTCAAAATGCCTTATGATGGATTACTGTGCGTGGTGGTACAAGATAAATCGTGATCCAGCAGGATTAATTTTGGGCTTATAAAACATCCACTGTTGGTCTCCTTTGCTGGGGCACAGCTAAGTTTGGCCGAAGCTATCAGAGCGAGGGTATGGTAAATGAGAGTATTCGTCTTGATAATCAACCACTAGATTCTAGTTGGCTTTTCTCCTATCTTCCATGCACCAATGTTAACACTCACTAAGTGGAATGGCAGTAATTCCCCAGCCTAATTGCACTGGGCCTGGCTCCAAATGATCAGCTAGTTTCAACTGCATACGTTGCATACGTGCATATAATAAGTATTGCAAACACATGGCTTCCACTTTGCAATATATTAGCATTGTGTAACTCCGACAGGAGATGATGAAATCTAGTGCTCTTTCAAGGTGTCATGTACTTCGATAGGCCATGCACTCAAATATTAAATGGCTACACTGGGGATATTTTGAGGTAATCCTAAATCTGGTACACAACAATGGCCTCGATTGAGAATGGGCAAGTATGTGTAGCACGTAAACATACCAAAGCAACTTATGCAACACGAAGTTAGTTTTGGAGTGTAAAACTGGGAGCGGACAGCAGCTAACTCTTACTCAGTTTCATTTCTTAGTTCGCAAAACGAACCAGACCATAGCAGCCTAGTGCTCAACTGAACACTCCATCTTTGGCAACAATTTATTAGCACTGAGGTTACGCAATGAAGCAGGCATCAGATATATGTAAGCGCTTGACATTCTGTCTGGGTGGGTACGTCTCGAGGTTGCAGGTGGGAAAAGCTTTAAGTGTTAAAAAAGGCATCATCAGTACGCCGTTCTGCAGTACCGACGCCTTGTTGCTGCGCAACTACCACCAGTCGCGCGTGGACTAAGGATACCAAGAAGAGCTCCCGGTCTCCTATGTAGGCTAGAACCCGCGAACGCAGGATTACAAGGCAAGCATGTGATCCTTACTGACACTGGTTGGCCGTTACAAGGGTACATCTATACGTACAGCGTTTAAAACACACGTAGCTTTTGGTGCCAAACAGACTGATGCTTCATTAAGGTAATTCTAGCTCTCCAAACACCTGAATTGACACTCGCACTCACACATTCGATGTTGCTTATGATAGACAAAGTGATCAAGCGAAAGCACTGTCCCAATAAAGCAAAAATGTCGTATTATGGCCAATATTCTTAAGCGAGGAAGTCGATCTGAACATGACAACTACCATCCAGTAATGCTACCCCCTTAGTTGACAACAGTTATATAAGCAGGCGTCGCAGACACAGTACTGGGTTACGTGAGAAGCCACCGTGTCATCACTCTGCAGCAGCGCTGCTTTTATTAACATCGATCATATACCACGAACCTGTTACGTTCACGCGACAGTTGGACCGATGCAGTTGACGATGGGACAGGAACCATTTTCATATGTTTGAACTTGCCAGAAGCATTTGATCATGTAGATTATCACAGAATGCTTTACGAACGCCATATGATATTGGAGATCCAGTGTTGGGATGGACCGGTAAGTTTATTCGTAAAAGGCAGTCGTAGGTGAGGCTTCGAACCCTTTTGTTGGACCTAATTTGAGTCGAGCGCAGTGTGCCGCTACGTTAGATAACTGGGCCCCATCTAACCATAGTCCTGACTAACGATGTAGTGAGAATTTTAATCCCGACGATTTCGATCTTCGCTTGCGATCAAATTGTTCCAGCACAAGGTTCCTCAGCGTGACCTTTATGAGACCTGAAATTGGTCGGTGCGAAACCGACTGCCATTGATTGTGGACAAGCGCCGAGCTGTGCACATTCGTTACCGACACGCTTACTCATACGTGCTTGTAACGCACGATCTGAATACCACCTCATAGTTCAATAGTTCAATAGTGTATGATGGGATAAAAAGCATTGGCTTTACAAGGCCCATAGGATGGTAAATGCAAAATAAATAAAAATCATTAGATTCCGACATGGAACTGAAATGCCAATAGTCTAAACCTAGTACATCACACCACAATGTGTTGTTTGTCACTCAGATGAATGTCTAACAATTGTTTGAAGGCTGTAATGTTCGGAGCGTTTACCACATGCGTTGGCAAGTCATTCTGTTGTGAACAGATTCTAAGAGAGTAAAAATATTTTCTACAGTCTAGTCGGGAGTGGTGGATTATCAGCTTGAGGTTATGACCTCTCGATCGCTTATATGAGGCTAGGGTGAGCAGCGATTTGCACGGGTGATCGCTTTCCGCTAATATCCGGTATGCGAGAATGAGATCTCCGCATATTCGTCGGGTATTCGGAGCAAAACATTCCGATTAAACTGAGACGCACTTCATAATTGAGACCAGATAATCCGCGTGTTGCCTTCGTAGCTCTTCGTTGGGGCTGCTCTAAGAGATGAATGTCCCGTTTTAACCATGGGCACCAAGCCTGGACGGCATATTCGACGTGGGGACGGATATAGGGGTTGACAAGCATGGGTACCAACCGTCGTTCAAAAACACCAAAGGCTCGCCTCAAAAGTCTCAGATTCATGTTCGCCACGTCTGCTGCTTTCGAACATTGGAGCGAATTCCACAGACTTTCTTGCACAATGATACCCAAGTCCCTTTCTGTGGTCACGCGCCGTAAAACGTACTGCCCCAAGAGGTACGTGCTGGTAAGATTGCTGCGCAATAACAGTAGATGACACTTGGCAGGATTCAGGAGGAGGTGGTTTATATCTGCCCATTTGTGGATTCGATCCAAGTCATTCTGGAGGAGGGCACAGTCAGATGTTGAGCGGATAACTCTCCAGTTTTTTGCGTCATCTGCGAAAATTTGCATCGAGGATTGAATATTATCTGGGAGGTCGTTAATGTAGGCCAGAAAAAGGAGGGGACCAAGGACGGATCCTTGAGGAACACCGCTGGAGATGCAGAGGGTTTCCGAGAGGGCATCAGCGACTCTGACCTTGATCGTTCTGTCATGCAAATATGCTGCTAGCCAGGTGAGTAGGGAACCATGGATACCGTAGGCACGAAGCTTATGAAGCAGAGCCAAGTGATTGACTCTGTCGAATGCCTTCGAAAAGTCTAGGTAAATCACATCAAGGGGGATCCTTCATCAAGCGCTTTGGTCCATGAATCCCGAGCAAGCAGCAGATTTGTGAGGCAAGATCGTTTGCGCCTAAAGCCGTGTTGGAGGTGAGAAATTAGCTTCAGACTCTCAAAATATCGTGTAATTTCATATGCAACTAACGATTCCACTACTTTTGATAAAACAGGGAGGAGAGTAATGGGTCGATATTTGGCAGGATCCGATCGCTTACCTCCTTCGTATATCAGATTGCCTATCTCGCTTCTCAACTCAGACTGAAGTGTTTGGGAATTGAGTAGACTTTGGAAAAAGCTTGCGAGGTATGCTCTTATGGTGGGAGCAAGAGTTTTAAGAACTTTGGGTCTGATCTTGTCGACTCCCGGAGCGCTATTTTCTCTTAGAGACCGTAATTTGCTAGCGACAGCTGCTGAGGTAAAAGTGACAGTTGATATGCCGACCACGTTAGGTGAATGCTGGTTTGGCAAAGGTTCTATGGCGTTTGCAGTCACTGTGCCAAACTGCAGAAGTAATGCGTTCGCAGCATCCACAGCAGTAGTCGTTAGGCCACCATCCGTCTTGAGTGGTGGTATTCCTGTTTTAACTTTCCGTCTGCTGTTCAGGTACCTGTATAGCAGTTTTTTATTGTTCGTGAATTTAAGTACCATGTTTTTTGCCATTCGTACTTATCGGCTCTAATCAGTGATGTGCAATAGTTCCTCACTATTTTGTACTTCTCCCAGGTGGCGTCGCAATTGTTCAGCGCGTATTGTCTCCAGATCTCGTCTCTGATGTTAATCCATTTACGCGTTCTGCTTCGGATCCAGGTGTTGGTCCGGCGCGGCACTCGTAATGGTATGACTTTAGAGGCTGCTTGCGTGACACAGCTAATTTTGTCTTTTATTTCATTCCACGCGTCGTCTGCCGTGCTCTGCAGATTGAGGTCCCAGTTGACGGTTGTCGCTAGGCTGTGAAGCACGGAATAGTTGGTTATAGTTCGTCGGTTTTCATGTCTGATTTCAGTAGTATTGGCGCAACGCACATAGGCAAAATTTAACACTGAGTGGTCACTGTTGCCTAATGGTGGATCGTATGAAATTGTCTCAATCATCAACTCTTCGTTGGTTAGGAGTAAATCCAGAAGCGATGGCTTATTTGAACCGCGGTGTCTAGTTGGTCGGTGCACGTGGTTGTACAGCGCTGCTGTATCCATAAACTCGAGAAACTTTGCTTTGAAGTAAGGACCACTAGAAGTCGCTGAGACAATTGTGGGTACATTAAAATCGCCCATGATTAGACATTGTGAGTACCTTTGAGAAACTGCATAATGAAGCGCGTTGAACAGAATGTCATCTCCGTCTGCGGTGGAGTTCGGTGGCCTGTAGACAACTGCCAACAGACAAGCATCCCACGTCTTCATCGAAGGTTCACCACTTCTGCCATTTAGCTGCATTCGGCAAAACAAAGCTTCGGAGACAGCAAGGTGACGTTCGTTAATAGCCTCACATCTCAGACAATTCCGATAGTACAGAGCAACGCCGCCACCGCGAGATGGACGATCATTGCGAATAACTGACATATCACTGATTTCGATTTCCGTGTCGAGCATGTCATTGGAGAGCCAGGTTTCAGTTACAGCTATGATATCCCAATTGATTGTGTTATGTCGATGGCGCAATTCAGGTAGCTTAGAGTTGAGCCCCTGAGCTTTTGTGTAGCAGCACTGTATCTGTTGACACATTAGGAGCTCGGTTCGTTGTGGTTGACCGGCACGGATTGTGCCGCTCTACGTACGTTTTTTGTCAGAGGCGTTTGCACATTTGTCTGGCCTGAGTTAGGAAGAACCGAGTCCGGTTCGTCCGTATATGTGGCCCGTACTTTGTTTAGGAACGGTCTTAAACGTATTTCAGGTGGCCCACGTTGTCGTGCCACGCTTGGACGGCCGTTGATACCATCACAGATGTAGCCGCGGTGACTTTCAAAATTTTTGGCCCGTTACCCTGATAGTTTAAGGAGGCCGCTAGACTGGTGTCATCAAAATTCACGATATTTTGTATGTTGTAGAGCTCCGTTATGTAACTCCACTCTTCTATATCGTGCTACTGATGTTCATTTATATCGCCATGGTTAAGTTCTGGAACACCGTGGACCAGCACTACTTTCTTCGTCACATCATGTTGTGACGCGACTGGGTTGGATTTCCATTTTTGCCTTTCTATCCATGGTTTATCTGGGAAAATGCGGGAGCTGAGAGAGAAATTCGTTAGCTTGTGGCCTGTCAGAAGCACATCCACCAGGTCGCGTGTGTTACCAAATGTTACTCGTAATAACCGAGATTGTCCTAAATGCGGCGAGGATGAATTTCGGGAAATGAGCGTAAGACTAGTTGGCGGAACGTTAATTTCGAGAGCACAGCATATCTCTGCCCAGCGGTTTTGTTCTTCCACTTGCCTACCTTTTAACGACTCGCTCGTGGGCTCTAGTACATTTGAACACATAATTGTCAGAGCTTTTTGTTGTGCACTAACTGCTTATCCTGAGAGTTGTTACTGGTGGACATTTGTCTAGTTTGAGTACTCATCTTGTCCCTTGTGCAGGGAGAGCCTGCGCTGCTACATGACTGCATACGCGGAACACCGTTTGTTGTGCTGTTTGTGGGGGTCAAATGTTGCTGTCCAACCCGTGACAGGGTTGAGCGTGCAGTTTGTGCATAGCTGTTTAAGCCCGGAGACACTTCACTAAACTTGGGAGGTCGTTCGACAGGCCTGTCTTCGCTGGCGTCCATCAACAATGGTGTGCTATTTTCACCGTACTGCGTGGCTTCTTTACTAAATGGCTCTCGCCTTTTGACAGGTCTAGGATTCGGGCTACTTAATACACTAACCTGCGACTCAAGTTCAGTGGTTTTTCTTACCAAGCTAGCGGTCAACTCCTTTTGTTCTGTGACCGTTAGGGCTAAACTTTCACATTTCGCCATAAGCGCTTGAATGATCCTAGCCAACGGTTTGGTTGAACATGCGTCACACACACAAGCCGTCGATCGACCTACAGTGTTTTGTAGCCCCATCGAAGGAATTGGAACAAAGCGAGCATGTGGTGACCGACGTGTCTGGACCACTACTGACCTTGGATTTGTTGTTCATTTGCGTAGCTGAGACACTGCGTCGGCTCATCATGTGCTCACGGTGAACAGTGGGCAGTGAAATAGCACAAAGGCTTTGCGTGGCAAAACGTGCCAAGGGAGTTACAGCGGTAATTGCGTGATCACAAAATAACCTCTATTTGTGGTATCTAGAGGTGCACTGCAATAAGTAACGTGTTGTCTAGTAGCCTTAAAAAAGCTCCGTCGAATGGTATCCCAATGTAGTGGAAGAAATAAAACTACAACGCAGTTTCACAAACAGGTCTTACCGAATGAACTGTCAAAGACGGTGTTCAGAATTTACCAGTGTGTCGTTAGTAGTACTGCAAAAAGACTGAATCCGTTGGATAGGTCTCGACGATCCGAGTCGATTGAGTATACTTCCCAAGATGTGGAACAATATGGAAGGCGAATAGAGAGAAGTAATACAATTATCCAGGAGCGCGAGTCACGCGTGTCACACGTTAGCCGTAGGAATGTAGCCACGTTGTGCAAGTACAAGATGACCTCGACTGTTTTAAACAGTTGCAATGTACTTTAAATTATGGTAACTAGCTCGTTGCTCTTCTACAGCGACTCTGGGAGTTTGGATTCAGCAAATTCCTTCCCGATGCTCAACGTCGAATATGCCGTTCAGTATTGACAACGTTGCATAAAGCTGGAACATGCAGCTTCCGGGCCACGAAAGTCGTCAAGGGTTTGTGTAGGCGGAAGAATTACCAGGAAAAGAGAAGCATGCAAGATAATAGTCAGATGACCACATCATCTGCGCCGTCTGCCGAGGTCACGGATAACTCCTTATTCTTTGTGTAGATTCGTCGCAGTTAGACACAGACAGACAGCCACCACACATCCAGGAAAGCGCTAGACGTACTTTGGTCCTACTGGGACTTGTCAGTAGCGCACACCTGCTGAATCCTGCCGGATTCGAACCAACGACCTTACTCTTGCGAGTCAGCGACTTATGTCACTGAACCATGGGCGACGGCAGCGGACCGCCATGACTGATGTCTAACTTCGATATAGCGCGGCGCATCCTCCACTGTCTTGCCTGTTATGCATGTGCAGAGGACAGGGCTGGCTCCCACAGCAGCGACTTCCTTTGCAAGCTGCCACCAATCGATGTGGCAGGTATGCTGCTGAGGCGACTACTGATTATTTGTAGGTAGTAGGGGGATTTATTTGGTCCGCTGCCGTCACCCATGGTTCAGTGACATAAGTCGCTGACTCGCAAGAGTAAGGTCGTGGGTTCGTATCCGGCAGGATTTGGCAGGTGCGCGCTACTGACGAGTCCCTATAGGACGAAACGGCCGTCTAGCGCTTTCCTGGATGTGTAGTGGCTGTCTGTCTGTGTCTAACTGCGACGAAGCTACACAAAAACCTAATAAATCCCCCACTACTTACAAACAAATTCACTATTTGTCTACCACTTGCGATTAACTATGCACAGCTGTATGTTTTCCTTGCAACTCATACCATGACATAGTGACTTGTTCCTGATAAACTGCTACTAATGGCTAGTTTTTTGTTCATTGTTTTCCTAGCCATGTCTACGGGGTTTCATTCCAAACCCGCTGTGACTATTGTGCACCCCACCGCGTGCTATTAGTCCCGAAGGTACCTAAGCTCCTTGTCATGTTTGTTTTGCTCCTTGTAAATTCCCACTCGACATGGACTTTCTCTCATCCCAAACAGGCTGTGACGATTGCGCACTCCCATCCCGTGCTACTAAACCCAAGGGCACCCAAGCCCTTACTGGTCTTTGATCCCATGTCCGCACCGAGAAGTGTTAATCTTCTTCCATTAGAATGTAATAACACCTGGTATCTTCCTGTGCGTCGTGCCGCGGATTAATAGGATGAGATTTCGGACACCTTAAAAAGAACTCTCGTATTCTTCTCTTTGGACCTGTGCTGTGTGATCCTGCTGTACGGTAGCAATTGTGCTGACACTATTTCCGTGTGTAACTGTACGAACACCCGGTTGCTTCAGGAATGAACAGTCAGTTTTTAGGTATGTAAATATGTAACCGAGTTTTATATTGTTTAATAGTACCGTGGTTAACGTCGCGGCTTCCTTTCTTTTCGGGACCCGGGAGCATTGTATGAGTCACTCGAGCCCCAAAGGAATCTGTCGCTTACATTTCGCACAACTTGCGTACCAACAACGATACAAGTATGCAACGTACGCTACTTTCAGGTATGTGGGTATATCATAATACTTACTAAATGCTAAGTGATCCCAGTCACGTATGCTCCTACCTTTTGATCCTAACTAACTTGGAGTGCAATAACATAAAACAAATTCAAAAGAGCAATCATCTACACTGTTGACAATCCTACTTCACTCCTCGAGTCTACCAACTCTGGAAGCCTCTACTAATTCATTTGGTTGTGCCCGCACTATAGACATCTTCAAAAAAGTGTTTAGGCATCGCATCCAGCTCTCTGCGATTTGTTAGGGAATATATTCTGGTGGCAACATTTTGAGGTTACAATTCACGTTGATGCAAAAAAGTGAGTGGAATGTAAGCTACCCATTATCATTTTATGACTGTTACGCTGTGTTGCATGGTGCTATCCCATTATCAAAAGCTTGTCCTTATGGTACCATTATTTTGCTACATTTGACCTGTTTGCATGAGCATTCATTTCGCAATGCGTATATTTTTTCACCCATCATATACGATTGTTTTGGCATATCAGGTTCCTCGTCGACAGAAGTGCTATATGGATTAGCTAGACTGGTACACACGAAAAAAACGTTTTTCACGAAAATAAATGGTAGATAAAAATGGATGGGGCAACTTCAGAGAAATTCGTGAATGGACTGTGCTTTCTCGCGACTGTCAACCAGCAAAGTGTTGTCATCCGAGTAGTCTAGATCAACCAGTCCGACCGACAAACACGCCCACACGTTTTGGTTAGTCAGCTTAGTTACGCAATAGTTATCGCGTTGATACAGCGATGTGGAAGCAGAATCGTGAACTAAAACCAAATGTCAGTCCGATGATTCAGCTTACGTAAACGCACGCAGATTTATGATTCAGCAAAAGAATTAGAACGTCACTTCAACATCATAATTATAGAAATGAAATTAAGGTGCGAGCGAATGCTAATAAACAACCAGAAACAGAAAGTAAAACCGAACATCTAGTATCTACGTACTTCGTGATCTTGGAACCTCGACGCAAGATCCTGCAGTAGTCCACAAAGTGTCTCCGTTCTGACGACACGTGCACGAAGAACGTCATCTGGCCAAACAAAGATGAAAAGAGGCTTGTTGATCGTTATTTCAAAAATATGAACTGTCTTGACTCCAGTGAAACTCGGCTTGTATGTGGTTCAAAGTAATGGACTAATAGGAACATTTTAGTGGCAGAAGATCAGCATCCTACTATTACGATTATTGTTTGGTGGGGACCCCAAGGGCAAGCAAGTTGGACTACACCTCGAATCACCAAGGAATATACCATTTATTTTATTTATTTATTTAACGCTAAGGCAGAGCGTGCTAGCAGTGCTGTGCCATATTGCAAGCGAATGCATACTAAACGCAATCTTGATTAACCGACAACATATACGAATAAGCAAGCAGAGATTGGTTCTCTATTGCTTGTAACTTATAATTTCTTTGTAGTGAGAGTAGAAACCCGCCTGGAAACCCTCAACGAACGCATTTCCATTGGAACAGGACACCGCTACAAGTTAACAACAATTGGCAACACCAAATGTTTAATACTTTAACAATCTGTGATTCCAGCACGTCTAAATATCCAACTTCGATCCACCCCAAGTCTCCAATAAATTTGACTTAAAGTCAAAGCATGTACAAACTAGCGACATAGAAATACGCCGCGGCTTACACTGAACAATGAATGAAGACAACTAACCAATCAAACGAATTCTAGGTAAATTTGTGGGCGTTGAGATCTGCGTGCTACGCACAGTGTTGCTACAGCATTGTAAACGTTCAGTGGTCGGAGGTAATGAAAATGCACAAACGAAATCGTTCCCAAGCCCTGCCACTAACATCAGTATTGCGGAATTGTGAGACCAGAAACAATGCGAGTTAACATGAGTTGCACTCAGGCGCGTCAGTGGGACTAGCACGTTCTGTACATCAGCGTCCAAACTTCGCAATGGATTAGTGACTGAAAAAATCCAGGGCATGGATAACACGGTGGTCGGATAAAACGTACACGAAAATTGAGTACAGCAAAAAGCGTACACGAACAATGCGTACACGAAAACTTTCACCCTCGGAGAATCCCGCACATGTATATGGTGAAGACGGAAAATCATCAGTTCGACCACTCGGCATATAAAAACCTGCCTTACGTGCCAAATCCTCATAACTCATACAATATGTTCAACAGACAGCTTTGTTCACCAATTGCAATTTGCCAAGGCTTTAGCGATTCGGTGACTCTAACGCACTTGGTGTGACCAGAACGAGTTCGTGCCTAGCCTAGCCTTGGCTTGATGAAGTTGGTGACCACATCAAATGACCGATAGCCATTTTCTCACAGTGGTGCTGCACGTGGGAAAATGCCCACATGGTAAGTTTCTTAGGCAAACGATCACTTGTACGGACAATTTGCAGCAGTCTGCAGATGTACGCGGTTTGTTTGCCTACAAGCTGTACAATTGTAATAGAACTTAATTTTTTCGTTGCACACTTAGATGACCGTCTTTAACTAAAGACGGTTCAGTAAACCGAATAACGCGCACATATGCGACACGCGCTCCTATTCTCGCTTCCCCAACCAACACGGTTCATCGATGTCACCATATGGGGGAAACTTGCATACTCACATTAAAAGCTCGTCCATTCATGCTGCCCTACCTCTGAACTTATATTTGGGCCAGTCGCCATAAAATGCTCACGAACTCGGTCTGGTCACACTAATAGCCTTAAAATCACACTATCGCTGAGGCTTCGGCAAACTGCAGTAGGCGGGCCGTGCTCTGTCTGTTGAGTATTCTGAATGAGTCATGGAGGATTTGGCACGTATGGCAGTCGTTTATACGCAGTGATCGAATGGTTGTAATTCCATGTTCGCCATTACCATGTGCGACATTTTGTGAGAGTGTAACTTTCTGTGTACGAATTTTTCCGTATACGCAATTTTCCGTGTACGCAATTTTCCGTGTACGCCAATTTTCCCTGTACATTGTTTCCATGTACGCACTTTTTGCATACGCTTTTTGCTGTACACAATTTTCGCGTACGCTTTTTTGGTGTACGCTTTCATTACGAAACCTGATATCACAACGGGTAGTACCAGGTATAGCAAAAATAAACTTGTTCCCAAGTTGTACCGAGGTCAAGGTATGGGCGATTGAATATGGTGAAAACGGAATGCATTTGATATAGGGTCACAGAATCTGTATTGAGAGCCAGAGCAACCAAGGTTTGGGTTCAAATTAAAAATGAGGTGGGAAGAAAAAGAGACGCCTGGTGTCATATCTTCCTGAATGCATCGTTCATCAAGGTTTGAATTCGATGTATGATTGGCCAGTTGTATGCGCAAAATCAGTAAGTACAGATTACGTTGTGATCCACCAGCAAAATCCAAACACGCTACGCTAGCAGTCCCAGCTGCTACGGCAACGTGCAATAAGAAAAGAAAGCGCAAACTTGTAGTATACGCAAAAAGTGGGTGAGTAATATAACCTTGTAGAGGAATTTAATACTTACTTAAGTAGAACAGAAACTAAAGAGTAATCAAAAGAAAAATTAAGGAAAAAAGGAAGGTTCGGAGCTGAAACTTAAGGACGTCAAGAGAAGTTACAACTTTGTCCCCGTGGGTGTTAATACGACGTCCTCGGGTAGTGCATTCCAGGAATCTATCACTCCACGTGACAAAAATGTGTCAGCCCGAACCCGATCTGATAAGAATTTGTGCAACTTCAACCGATGCTCACGAAGAGTAGGTAACTGAGCAGTGCTGAAAAGCCAGAATAGGTCTGGGTCGATCCGCCTTGCTAGTGTACGATAAGTGAGAACTAAATCGCCATGAAGACGGGAATAGTGTAGCGAGAACAAGAATCTGCCAGGGTAGGGCAGGTGGCGCCATCCTCGTGCCACATTGGTAGCACTCGACAAGACCCGCTCAGCCGCCATCCTGTCACGAGTCCGGCAAGGAGAACAAGACTGGACGAATTACTCCAGGTGCGGTCTAACAAAGTTCGTAAAGAATTTAATAAACATGTCTTCTGTTAGTTTTCCAAATGATCTACGGACCATCCAGAGGGTACAAAAACCCTTGCAAGCCGCCAGTTTCCAGTTCTCGCTGGATTTGAAATCCGAAGCTACTGTGACTCCTAAGTTCACTTGTTGGGAGCTATGAGGTAATTCGTGCCTGCCAAGCATGTGGTGCGTCGTGTGGCCATTTGATCCTACGCGGATAAATGAGCACTTTTCGTGGTTTATTTGCATTTGTCGCAGCACAGACCGATCAACGACTGTGGAGCGCTTGTTGCAAGGCTTGGAAGCCACCAGAGTCGCTCATCGTGCACCAAAAATGGAAGTCGTCCGCGAACATGAGAGTGAGCACACTAAGCACTTCCGGCCATTCGTTAACGTACACAGCAAAGAATAAGGACTTACCCCTGTGTGACACCGCTCAGAACAGTCTGCCGGAAGGAAGAACTACAGCTAACTAGAACACACATTACTCTGCCTTCGAGAAATACTGAATAGCCATTACAGCGTGTGCCCGGAGACGCCGCGACGACTAACTAAATAAAAGAAGAGAATGGGGAACTGAGTCACACGCGTTGGAGAAGTCAATAAACAGTATGACAGACTACGCTTGGCTCACTTGAACAATCAATAGATTGGCCAGGCAGAAATACCCTTTGCGAAAACCATGCTGAAATAGGCTGAGAAGGCCAAACGCCCTGAAATGGTTTTCGAAGGCATCACTCATCAGCTTTACTAGCAATATGACGAGCATTTTGTTAGACTAACAGGCCTGTAATTTATAGAAAGGTGCCTATCATCCTTTCTAATGAGGACGCAGACAACATAATTCTTCCAGTCAGTAGGAGAAGCGCAACTGGCAAGAGACTTTCGAACAAGGGAGTTACGGTCTGACCAACTTTATTTGCCAGTTTTGTTGTATGGCATTAATACCAGTGGCTTTAGTATAATTTAGCTCCAGCAGCAGTGAGAGCACTTGGGCCTCTGATACAGCCGGAACTATTTCCTCTAAATCGATGCTTGTTAACGGGGACTCTAGGACAAACATCTTCGCATACTGTTCGCCGAGAAGACAGGTCTTGTCGTAAGCAGTATGCGCGGCAAACCCACTGGGTCCGTGCAACCAAGCGATCAATGCATTAGCACGGCGTCATCTTCTGACATAAGCGAAAAACCGCTTCTTGTTGACTGAAGCTGTCTTAACTAGATTCATTTCATAACAAAGTCGAGTATCCCTTAGATGCGGCTTGCATGCGTTTCGTGCTGTTCGATAACATCGCAAGGCGCGGTCTGATCTAGTCGAAATGTAACTCCGCCAACACTTGGACCTTCTGTTAAACAGTTGACGTTCAGCCACATCAAAGCAGTGGTCTGGCGTTTTCTTATTTTCCAAATGAAGGCGGAAGGTGGGGATGGCACATCTCAGAAATGAATGCTTTGAACGTTCCCTATAGTGTCTGGATATCGTCTGCTGCCAAAGCGGTGCAAGGTGACAAGGTAGAAATGGGTCTTATTGCATGCAAATCTGCGCACCAGATGTTCGGACTCCTAGCTTCGCTTACTCTTAGGCCCTACTTAGAGCATAGTCGAATGAGACGCAGGCGTGGTCAGTAGCTCCAAGTTGTTTACTGCAAACGGCGTTATTTACGAAGCCGACTGAGTTGGAAAAATAAGAGCAAGAATGGATGGAAATTACCCCTCTATGAGGCGTATGGACTGACCTACAAACCGACGTAGAGGGCTTGCAACACAATCTACACATATGGTCCCATTCTTGCAACAGGGGCTGCGCCAGTCTAACTCCGGAAGTGATTAAGAATGAAATCGAAAAACCTCTTGAAACGCTAACTGGGCTCCTATACATTAATACAATGCTAACGTTTGAAGACAAGGTGCGCACTTCAGCGGAAAAGGCTTCAACAGCGTAGTCGGTCAAGTGAAACATGTACATGCGTTGGAAATGTTTAAACAGGAGTTTAGGTAGAGTGAAACTCTACCTCCGCTACGGTCGCAGGGACGATCTTCTCCCAGTAGTGCGTAGCC